ATATATATATATATATATATATATATATATATATATATATATATATATATATATATATATTACATTAACATATTATATTGAAAATATTTTAAAAAAGAATATGGAATTGAATATATTTTTATATATGCATATTGGCAATTAAAAAGACATTTTTACAAATAAGATCGTAAAAATCATGTGATAATAAGTGAATAACAAATTCCAAGATTTTTCAGTAACGTATAGTTCATGCGCAAATGCCACAAAACGGCATCCATGTTTACAAAAAAACGAATGGAATGTTAGGATGCGCAAATTGTGTGCGCGAATGTGATTAGCATATCTCAAAGATCGCAGAAACTTTTGACTTCTTGGAATTACTGAAAAAATTAAAAAAAAAATCTGTTGATGAAATAACTTCTATTTTTATAAATATCAAAATTTGTAAATACCGGATCTAAAATATGAAAAATGAAAATTGGATTTATCAAACGGGACGCGTATACCCAATGCTATATGATGTGATTTCGTAATGACCGTGAGTTGTTTAAAAACAAGTCGAAGAGCGTGTTGGAAAGTGGCTTATAGTTCAAGATTCCGGAGAATGTCAGGTTTCTACAAGGTGGGAAAAAATATCTTATACACAAGCAATTATTTGTCTATATATGTATCTTTCCACTTCCTTTGAGCTCTCTTTCATCTTTTTTTCTTGAACATCGTATTCTTTTCAATATTACCCAGTATTCATCTGTGCAAGTGAATTGTACATTTTAGATAGGAGCTAGAAGCTCATACATATATCGATGAGGCTATACTGAGGTCATTTTGAGACCGCGTTGAAGTCATGTTAAGATTCCTCAGAAGGAGATCCGCTCCCAGGTGTTGCAATGTGCAGTGCATAGAAACTGTTATCGCAATTATTCACAAATATATTAATTTTCATTGATTTAATTTTCATGTACTCAATAGCTTTATCTATTTCGTTATTTTGCATAACATTTGTTGATGTTTCAATAATCTTCTTTTGTCATAATTAATATATTAAGACAAATGATCAATATAAACAATTCAATGATTCACACTTTTAATATTATATTAATATTATTCTTTTCAATGATAATTCGGTAGATTATAATTATATAAATTGTTTTATCTAATTTTATTAGAATAATATTTATTACTCGGAGGGAAATATAATAAACAAAAAGTTATTGCTAAGTACTTTTTGATTATAAGAGCAATTTTTTTTTTACTTTTTATAAGTTGAAAGTATTTCCGTAGACAGTATATTAATTTTATTTCTTTTTAATTGTTTCGTTTTTATTTTGTAGTTTAATTTTTAAGGAAAATTATTTTAATGCTAATTATTTTACTTTTATGCATTTATGCTCGATAGATCAGTGTAATTAATTTTTATCATTTATCATCTCAATGTTCACATGTTCCTCATCTCTATCCCTTCATTTCTCACGGCTTGCTATTTAAATTTATGTTATTTAATTCCTTTTTTAGCAACTCATTTATTTTGTTTTTGATGCTTTTATTATTTATCCTTGTTTACTCTATATGTATTCTTTCCAAAAGAAGAAAAGAAATAGAGCTATACATTATGTAATATAAATTTGATTAAAAAATCGTTGTTTTTTTCTATTAATGATTATATTCATGATTTTCTGCAAATCACGATTTAAAAAAAAGTTTTAATAAAGTAAATAACATATTATTCGATATATTGATTTTATAATTTAACCTTGTATTGTTTATTTTTATTATTATATTATTCTAAATGAAGTTAAAGATTAACACATTCTTACATGATGATGAATATATGAAATTCTACTTCGAAGTCCATCAACAAATCGAAAATTATGTTCATATAATTTACATGTAAATTAGCAGATTTTTATATATTTCTGTAAAATTCTTTGTTTTAATATTTTATTTACTTCGTTGAATTCCTGAGTAAAACATTTGTAGATTTTGATGTTTGTAGATTGGATTAAAAATAAAATTTTATAAAAAATTATTAATTAAAAGTTGACAAGTTTGCCATATTTAAAAAACACTTACTTAGAATATATACATTTTAATATCTTCTCTAAATATTTATAATCTCTTTTATATATTCGTATAATAATTTATTCGATATTGATCAATTAAATTGTTGAAAAACGAGTTTGTATTCAAAAACTAGCTTCGGCTTCATACGTATGTAGTTGCACATGGTTGTTACCATAAAAGGATCTAACTTTCAACGTTGTCTAGCATTTAAAGAAAAACAATCTATAAAAAAATTCGTTGAAATATTTTTACTTGTTGATAAAAGTGAAATGTTACTTGTAAAACGAATTAAGAAATTTCTTTTTTTTTTTCTTTCTTCCAGATTATTGGCTTCTAGAAGGAAGAAATTAATTAATGAGGGGTGTCCATGCCGAGTGTCAAGAAAAATCAACTGGATGATCTTAAGAGCGCGAGAAGAAAATTTTCAGGACCAGTTGTGTGGAATACAACGAAAGTTATTATATAGTCGAGGCTGCAAAAGTGACACGTTTGTGCTTGAAAATGTCATCAAATACGTGTACCATGATAATGTCAGGACTGATTCTATTGGTATTAGCAATAGTATCGTTTAGGGAAGTGCAAGGCCACGTTGCCTTGACTTTTCCACGAGCCAGGAAGTATGACTTGGATTTTTTGGACAATGCTAGAACACCTGGCCCATGTGGAATGCCTCGTGGTAAGTGTTATCTTTTATTATTCTTTATTTTAAATTTTCTAAGTATATCTATTTAAAAATGGATGATAAAAATTACAGGATACAATTTCTAATGATAATCTAGAAAAAATAATATAAAGTAATTTTGTTTGTTTTTAAAATAACAATATTATAGTAAATTTTGAAATTAATCTTGAAATTAATCTTTTGTAAATTAATATATTATTAAAATCATGTAATATAATACAATGATATAGATTGATACTAGTTTATTAAGATTTTAAAATTAATTAACCAATATTCTTCATTCTTCAGATAACTGAAAAATATTGTTCTCTCACAATAAAATTTATCTAATAATTCTAAAATTTAATATTACTTTTTTGCACCAAAAGCTAAAATTGCTACAAAAATGAATCAATATATAGTGTATTTAATATTTATATATATATTTAAAGAAGATTCTTTATGAATCATACATAAAAAAATCATTACATTAATGATATAATCATTAGTTTATAATAATAATATAATTATACATGAATTAATAATAAATCAGCATTAATAATAAAGCTTTACAGTGTGATATATCAAAACAAATTTATTTCATCTAATCAGGAAATCTATATCTTCTTCTGATCAAAACGTCACATAAAAATAAAAATATAATCATAAAGTAACAATGAAATCATTCAATGTTTTTTTTTCAAATTAAATTTATTTTTTTAAGAAACAAATCAAAGAGAAACATGATACATCCTTGAATTTACAGTAAATGAATTAATAAAATTTGAAATGATGTATTATACAAAGAAGTACAAATAATAATAATTATTGTTATAGGCATACAGAATATTTTTATATAAATTACTACTTTTTTTATTTTAAATAATGTTTAAATAAAAAATTTTTTAGCTAATTTTTTTTTATATTTCATTTACATATTCAATTTTAATATAATATTTTAATTATTAAAATACGTTGTTGATGTAATATTTATATACATATATATAATTATAAATTTTAATTATATAATTTTAAATTTTTTATAATTGTTAGCATTCAAAGTATATGATACTCAAATAATAATAGAACAATCTAGAGAAAATTGGCGACAAAACAAAATTACATAAAAAAGCATTACCAACAGAATAATTAAACAGACGTTGCGATTCCACTATAATACATATAACACGATTTACAAACCGAAAACAATATGTGAAATTTTCGTGATCATATCAAGCATAATTACATTCAACAATATGAAATTTAGTTACAAGGGATGAGTAGAAAGGGTGTTCTATGGGAAAACGACATTAACACGAAGATATGTCCCATTGGGAATAATTCGCTAGTCTGATTCAAAGCAACTTTCACCGACTTCGCATGAAGGAAACTCGAACCTTGGCTACTCAGCCATTACCTTCCACGTCTTGCCTCAACACTGTACTTATATATATATTACATACCCTTTTTCTCTTTTGCGAACTCTCGTATTCGTAGGAAATACATGAACTTTAGATATAGGCGTGTATCATCGTTACCGTAATATGACACTTTGTTTAGTAAACAAAAAATATATATTTTTGGAAAAATCACTATAGTTTTTATATATTTTTTATATTCATGGAATTACAAATATAGAAAGATTGCTAATATTAATATTAATTATAATATTAAAATAGTATTACACATATATAGAAAAATATTGTGATAAATCATTTTATAATTTAAATTAAATTATGTAAGACTTTAAAATAAAAAAGGAAGTAAAAAAAGAACATAATTCTTTCAAATAAGAATTTTTTTTAATTAAACTTTCTACAACTCGATTATTCTATATGATACGAAATCAAATATTACAAAAAATTGAAAGTATCGATTTTAACGATTTTAATTCTTAATTTATTATTCTTAATAAGAAAATTTGGTATAGGAATAAAACTTTCGGTTATCCAAACATTCGTTTTTGTCACTTCAAATCAAAAATATAATTTCGTATGTTATAATGCATATTAAGTTCTTTTATATTTTTAAAATTAAATCATAATTTTTTAAAATCACGCTTATATTTTTCTCATAATTTAATAAATACGTTAATTTGTTTCGTGTGAAAGCTTTCTTTTTTAAGATGGGGGAAAAGATAGTAAAGTCTAAAAGGCAGAATTGATTGTAGAATGCGAGTTTGTCCATCCGCTTCCGGAAATTAATTGTACATGCTACAACTTTCGATTATTTCCGCAAATCCATATTTTGATAAGATAATGTCATAGATCATTATTTTAGCTTTAGTTGAATTGAAAATGTGAAGAATGTCATGAATTATATTGAAATTTATTTTCATTATTTCAATGTTTGAAATGATTACTGATATATATAATTATTGGTTTTCATTTATATTAAATTTTTAATTTTTTTTTCTTGTGATCGATTTAATGAAAAAAATTATAAGAACGAATTTTTTTATATAATGTTATAAAGAAAAGTTATAAAACAATGATACAAATCTAGAAAATGTTAATCATATGTATATATGTATTTAATTACGTAAGCAAGAGAAAAGAAATAGCAATGCTCGGTATATCCTTCTCTGAAAATATAAAATAGCTCATATAATTATATATATATTTGAAGATAAAATAGTATAATTTTATGATTCCTTTTTCTATTTCTAAAATAGGTATGGATAAAAATATTCACACTCAAAACTTTTGAATTTGCATTTATGCATGTTTCTGGTGATTGTTATAAATTATTGTGTTTCATTATAATAAATATTAGTATTTTTCATATTTATAGTATCTAAGCTAAATCTTGATGAGCTTGAGAAAATACAAGTTTCCGTTTCTCGACATAATTTGTTTTGAATAATCATGAAAATTATATAGAATAGTGCAGCATTGAATAATAAATTTATTTTTTGTTGCAGGTGATATTAAAACTACTTTATTATCTGGGAGTAACTTCAACGTCACATGGCATCTAGCTTATCCTCATCGAGTGAGTTTATTTTTCTTTGTATTTTAATTTATTTAATTTATTTAACATTTATTAAATACAAAAATGCTATTGATATATATTGCACATAATTTTTATTTAATTATAATTCTTTAATTAATTTTATATATTTTAAAATAACTTTAAATGATATTTGAATTTTATTGAATTTTATTACATCACAAAAAAAAAGAATCAAAAAAAAGACACAAAAAAAAAGAAGAATCACGAAAAAAAAAAGTAAGACAGTTGTTTAAGGCAAATAACTATTCGTAAATAATTTCTGTACATAGTCAAATACACGCTTAATATCTTAAGATATATACTGCGCATGCGTTATAGCACATAAGAAATCTAAACACGTACAGTTGTTTAAAAAAGAAGAAAAAAGTAATATATGAACAGTTACGTGAGAGTTAGATATTATATCGAATTTCATTATATTTCACATTATTCCAACTTTCTCCAATATGAAACTTTCTGTATTCATCTTTCAAGCGATTGTATTTCTTATAATTAATGATTTGCGTATCGTGACCAAAGAATTTGGCACACACGTAATCGATTTGTTAATTGTTTTTTATATAATTAAAACATGATCATCAATTATATCTGAAATTAGCACTCAATAAAGTTTATAGTTATTTAATTAATATAGTTTTTAAATGTAAAAATGTGATCATGACTTATTCCTGGAAATTAAACATGGGAACAATTATGAAACATTTCATAACGATTTTTCTTATTGTATTTTGAAGATTCAAAAGTTATATGAGATCATTAATGATATCATGTTCATAAATTACGTCGAACAAATATATAAGATAAATAAATTCTGGCATAATAAGACAAAAATTTTGTAATAAAATCGATCACTCATCTTCGTGTGGAAATCATAATTGGTGACATTATTAATTAGCCAACCATTCACATTTTTATCTTATTATTCTTAATACAAAATCTTTTTATTTTATCGTATAGATGTATCTTCTTATGGAGATAAACTTAAATTAAAAGATAAATTTATATGTCCAACTTTTCCAGACTTTGATTAAGAAAAATTACAGTATAGAAAAATACAGTAGCAGAAAAAGCTTAGGATACATAGTTCGTAAGCTGAACGTAATGATCGAGTGGCGCAATTGGACATTTGTATTCTCCGCGACACATTCTTAACGAACGCCTAAGTCATCGTAAAAGACATCACGAATTTGTCCGCACGTGGTCTATATGAAAGAGAAAGAAGACACTGGTTGAGGGCGGCCTATGCTTGCACGTCGTTGCTCAAGGTGATGTTGAATAATTCACAAGCGAAGCTTGGTATACGTTCGAGATGCTTCGTGTATACCTTTTGTAGATAGGTAGGTCGGAAAGGTGGTAAGAGATATAAGTTGCTTTGCATATGAACGCGTATACGAGAGAGCAGCTTATGTTCGAATCGAATTCATCGGTATGTCGGGTACCGTAACTCGACTATCGTTAATGACTCGAAGCCAAAGCTTTGGAATCCGTTACTGAAACGATTGAGCTGTATACAGAACTAAATAGAACATTATTATAAGAAAAATATATAATATTAAAAAGTAACTAGAAATTTATAGGAAAAAATTTTATCATAATGTATTTCATATTTTTATTTGATTGTAGAAATTTAATTATATTAAGATATACTATTAAGAAAATATTTTAAATTCTTTTTTATGAATTAAAAAGAGATTTTTATAAAAAATAACAAACATCTTTGATCCATTCATAAATAAATATATATTTTAAACATATTTTATAGAATATCTTAAAAATAATTAATATCAATACATATTTTTGATATTAATTATTAAAATTCAAAGTATAAAATAATATAAATAAAAAAATAAATAATAAATTTTAAAAGTTCATACTTTAAAACATTATTAAATAATATTGATTATCGATAGAGTTTTTTAGGTTATGATGATCTAAGGAATGCGGTTAATAGAAAACATGGCACGTAGTAGAAAACGCAATGTTGCTCTTGAGCAAGGGTTAACTAGTAACGGTTCTTTACCTCAAATCTTTAGACAAGTGTCAGATTGACATCAGTAATCATTAAATTAACGCTTATTTCATTATGTTGTTGTCTATTATTGATCTCGTGTAATGACATTTCTCTCTATTTCTAATTTGAAAAACATTTCATAAACTGGTAGTTTCATAACGGCAAATGTAGTTATATATAATCTTTCTTTTTTTTTTTTAATCAATCTAATAAAAATTCAATTTTTATTAGAATCTGTAATAAACTCGTTCGGTATCTGCGCGATTTGATATTTAATTGATATCCTCTTAATTGTTTCTTACTACAATGCAAGCATAGCAAAAAAAATTCATTCATTGAAACTAAAATGATATTGCAATTTATTTAAATTTCCAAATATAAAATAAATAAAAATAAATTTAATATTGTTGAATGTATACATAATGTATAATATAATTTTTTATTGAATTTTATCTATTTATCACAAAAAATTTTTATAATCAATTCTAAAATATCTAGTTTCGAATATATTTACTTATTAGATATTAAAAAATTTTATCAGATATTTAAAAAATTCATGATTTGATAATCACAATTATTAACTAATTATTTTTTACCTTTTTAGGGTGGATTTCGACTGCAAATCTTGGATGCTCTCGATAGACCATTAATTGATTTAACTCCTGTGACAAAAAATAGTGAATTCGTTGAAGATGATGCTACGTGAGTGCAGATCTATTCTTTTTTTATATTTAATTCTATATCTATTTCTTTTTCTTTTCCTCTTTTAAATCTTTATATTTAAAAATGAATCATTGATTTTTAGGGCACAGAGTTATGCCGTGCAATTACCTCAAAATTTCACGTGTACAGATTGCACAATTCGGCTTCTTCGAGAAGCTGAGGAATGGGGTTCGAGTTACAGATTTTGGTCTTGTGCAGATATTGATGTAAGAATTTAATAAAAATAAAAAAATTAATAAAAAAATTATCAAACAATATAAAATAATTTTTTATTATAATATATTCATTTTGAAATGTTGATCCATTAGATCATTGACAGAAAGACATACAGAGAAGATTGCAGCGGTCATGGTCGATATCTATTAGGTCGATGTAGATGTGATAGACTATATCACGGCACAAGGTGTGAATTTAAGGAGGAATGTCTGGACGATTCAGATTGCGGTATTCAGGGCACGTGCATTAACAATGGCGGCACAACCGCGCCCACCAAGCATTGCTACTGCAACATCGGTTGGTTCGGGCCGGGTTGTGCAAAAAGTAAGAGTTTTTTTAAGTTTTAACAACAATTAAATATTTTAAAAAATTTATATATATATATATAAGAATTAAAGTATTAATATTACTTATTTATATTATATTTTTTAAATTATTTACATCATATTATTAAAGAATAAAAAGATATTTAATCCTTGAGATCAGCAAGATAAACAAATTTATAAATAAATAAAAAAAATAATATCTTTATATTAATAATAAATATTTTTTTAGGATCTCCAATTAAAACCATAGATGTAGAATTGGATATTTATACTATGAAGAAGTTTTCTGACAATTTTACGTTTTATTGGCGTATATTAAAAGAAAGCAAAGAACTTGAAGGCATTATGGTAGTAAATAGTACAAATTGGGTCGGTATTGGATGGCGACCAAGTAATTTGATGCCAATTTGTCGTTCTTTTCCTAATATTCAAGAACATCCAAAAGCTGAACCGCTTCCACAGCCAGAACCAAAAGCAGAACCAGAACCAAAAACTGAATCCAAACGAGAACCTGAATCAGAACCTAAATCTGAACCTAAACCTGAACCTGAACCTGAACCTGAACCTGAACCTGAACCTGAACCTGAACCTGAACCTGAACCTGAATCTGGAACTGAAAGATCTGGTACTAGAAGAAGATCAGCTAAAGTTCATGATATTGCTTCTTTGGCTTCAACTCTTCAACCTGATACCGATGTCACAGTGCAAACTAGTGTGACATATCGTGTCAGTACGAAGCAAGGTAAATATTGAATTAATTAGATTAAAAAAAGATATAAACATTTTTATTATATTAAATAATATTCATGTTTATATAGGACGCAAGAAAAGATCACCAGAATCTACAGGAATTTCTGCAAACGGTATGTACTGATAGATCAAGATATCATAGATAGATCAATATATTCTTGCTATTCATATATTCATTGTAGTAATCTGTAGAATGCTTCCAAAAAAATAGTAGAACATTTAGTATCTCTTTTTTTATTTGAAACACTACGCACAAGGTGGTGGTCCGTAAACAATAAGCAGTAGTTAGTTGGCACGACGATCGATGCTTTCTTGCACAGGGGAACTCGTCGCCGAGCCGAGCACTGTTGACAACACGAACATTACGTCTGAACTTATATCAGAACCAGAACCTAAATCTGAGCCTGAACCCAGCCCAGAATTAGAGCCGAAATTCAAATTGAAATCAACTTCAGTGCCTCAATCAACATTTGAACCAGAATTCAAATCTGAATTAGAATCCAATTCTGAACCTGAACCAGAACCCAGCTCTGAACCTGAACCAGAACCCAGCTCTGAATCTGAACCAGAACCTAGCTCTGAACCTGAACCAGAACCCAGCTCTGAGCCGAACCAGAACCCAGCTCTGAGCCCGAACCAGAACCCAGCTCTGAGCCCGAACCCGAACCCAATCCTGAACCCGAAGCCGAACCTGAACCCAATCCTGAACCCGAACCTGAACCCAATCCTGAACCCGAACCGAACCCAAATCCGAACCAGAACCGGAGCCGAAATCTGAACCAGAACCGAAGTCTGAACCGGAACCCAGTTCCGAACCAGAGCCAAGGTCTGAACAGGAACCTAAGTCAGAACCGGAACCAAGTTCTGAACCGACTTCGGAACCGATTTCGAGTCTCAAATCGAGCGCAACGAAAGGTAAAAACAAGCTGAGAGAGCAAGATAATTTAATCGCTTGTCTCTTTTTATACTGCACGAGCTTTATGTTTTATAAGTTGACGTTTAATTCATATTATAGAAAATTTTTGATATTGTTGTTGAAATTCAAGTTCAACTTAAAAATTTTTCCTTTTTATAATTTGCAATTCGTGTTAGATTTAATATATAATGAAAATAATTAGATTAAAAAAGTTAAGCTATTTTGAATATTTCTGTATATATGTAAATTTTTCGTCAACTTGACAAAAATTAGAAATGCTAAATAATAAACTATAGATAAAAAATATTTAATCAATAATAATTTCTGTATTATAAATAAATAATTTAAGTTAATAACATTCACACATTCAGTAGTATTGATACTAATACATTATAAATATAATATAAACTATATATGACATGATAATATTTATACTGATTTGTATTTATTTTATATAAGCTTTCATAATGTTTCAATTACTTGCTACAATATTAAATATTTTTAAAATACTTTAAAAAACAGTATAAAATAAACTTTCACTAACATATTTTGTGATGTAAACTTAAAAACATTACAAGACATTTTTTTCATCATAATTATAAATTATTATTTATTACTTGATCTTATGTACATTAGAAATCATCGAAATCTGTAAGTTGTTTTAATCTAATGTGATATTTGAATCAAAGCTATCCTACCTGAAACGCACAAGTATACGCCAAAACATGATTTCAACCCTATGGACTGCACCGACATTATAATAGGATCTGCACGAGGTAATAGTCACAGGATTGGTGACTATTATACTAGAGATAGATCTACACCAAGAAAAGATGAATATTGGGGTGGAAGAGATACATTAACTGCTGCAATGGGCTTTGAACGCAATGGCGTTACAACGATACTTTTTAGAAGAAAATTGGCAACAAATGAACCAACTGACTATGAAATTATTGATGGTAATATGCAAGTGATATGGGCTAAGGGACAAGAACCTGGAAAATATATTCATCATCCACCGAGTGGCATTGAAAAAGCCAAAATTAGTGTGAAAGACTTTTACAAGGCTGACGAACTTAAATATCATGGACATGGAGAACAAAGAGGAACGGTGACGCTTAATTTTTTTGGTAGGTGAATAAAAATAGATATTTGTTTTTTTAATTAATTTAAATTGTTGCCAATAAATTCATGTCATAATTATCTTAGACTACATTTCATATTAATTAATATTAATATTTCCAGACGAAAAGAAGAAACAAGAAATGATAAATGAAGGTGGTGTACCAATGCCAATTTCAAATTGCAACGGTGAGTGGCATTATCCGAGACATTGTTCACCTATAAATGGTACTTGTGAATACTCCATTCAATGGACATACAAAGAACGAAAGGTAATATTTTATACAAGAAATAAATCTTATATATAATGAAAAAAATATTGGAACGACAGTCCATAAATTGGAGATTCTTGAGATAATTTCAAAATTTTTTTTTGCAAAAATTTTTGTTAATGAATTATTAATAAAAAATATGGCCAATCATGAGTCACAGTATATGCTACTGATCGAACATAAACAAGTCTAAGCAAAATATCTCGAAGAAAGTGTGTTGAATGTAATAAATATTTTTTTATCAATAAAAAGTTATATCGATTTACGAATAATGAATAAATAAATATAACATTTAACATATTTTCTTTAAGATATATTGTTTAAGAAAGACACAATGAAAATTCTTGCTAAAGAAAATGCTGCTTATCTCAAGAATTTCCAATTTACGGATGTTTTAATATTTTTGAAATATTCTGTATATGTCAATAATTATTGAATATGTTTTCATAGGATCAATTATCATTTGTTATTTCCACAACTAATACAAATGTTTGGACTGGTGTTGGATTCTCTGATGATGATAAAATGGTATATATTAACTATCAAATTATTTATATATTAATTCAAATCTTAATTGAGCATTTAATTTTAACGAATTTCCATTACATTCTGATAATATTTCTTCCATTTTATAATAAAAGTAAATTTTGTTTGTGAATTTCAATTATTTTTTAATCAATAGTTCCTTTTTTTTTATTAGTCACAAACAGACGCAATATTGGGTTGGTTGATGAAAAGTCGGGTCGAGCTTTTCTCATGGATACTTGGATCAGCGGATATAATGCTCCGTTGCTCGATCCATCTCAAGATATTTATAACACGGGCGGTAGTAAAGTGGATGGTGTAACGACACTCAAATTCTCAAGGAAACGAATAACAAAGGACAATAGAGATCTTTCTTTCACAGATGATCACTGCTTATATATGATGTACCCAGTCAAGGGTGGTATTTTCAATGCTGTCAGCAAGAAAATACGTAAACATGACGCCGTGCCTATTGTCTCTGCTGAAAGGATATGCATAAAATCTTGTGGTCTTGAAGGTTCTTTTTTTTTTATGCTATACTATAAACAAAATATATATACAATCTTATAAGATTAGTAAATTAAAATATCTTAGAGTTTTTAAAAATGAAAATAAAAAAGATATAATATAATATAATAGATATAAATTATAATTATGTTATTAAAAATTTTTCATTTTAACAGAACTTGAAGATCTTACGACACCAGCACCTCCAAGGTTATATTATGATGTGGAAGTAAAACTTGTAAATTTGGGTGATGGTTTTACGGCGCCTATTCCGGGTAGTTCAGATTTTGAAGTTATTTCAAATACGATATCTGATAGTTTTGGTCCAGTTCTTAACAAATTACCAGGCTATTATCAAATTCGTCTTGTTGAGTTACAGAAGTGCGTTATCATACTTAGTGCGTTATATCAGTTTAATCCTGAATATATTATTTAATGTTTTATTTATAACATCTAGGGATGATGAGCAAAATGGTATTATTGCACATATGGATTTAATCTTAGATAAAAATGAAATCAAAGGTAGATCGTTGAAACCTATAGATACAAGCGCAGCTGCAGAAAAAGCATTAAAAGAAGCTCTCATTACTGGAAAAGTCGGTGCATTAAGTGTAGATCCACAATATTTGTTTATTAGAGCTCCTCGAGGTAAATGAAACTTTTTAATATTTTTAATTCTCAAAATATGAATATAGTCTTTCATTTCCAAGACTTCTAGCAATCATTGACAAATTACAATTAAAATTGTATTTAAATAACATTTAAATTTTAACTTTTCGTCTTAAATAATAAGATAACTGATTAAAAGTTTTAAATAATACTGCATTTAATTTAATATTTTTTCATCTCAACAATTAACGAACTTATAGTCATAATAAAATTAAATTAAAATTTTCATTAGTAATAAGCTAACAATTCATGTATATATATTTCTAATCCCACATAATATGAATAATCATAGTAATAAATAAGTATTATATAATATATAATCAATACAATTTGGACATTTTTTGTTTGGTCGCTAGTAAATGATATAGGTGGAGGAGATGCGAATGAAGAATCGTCAATCACATCGAATCTATTTCTCGATTCGACAAAACTATATATCATTATCGGATGTGTTGCTGCCTTGCTTGCTCTTGTTCTACTGCAAGCAAGCTGTACTCTTTATAGGTCGTCGAGAAAGCGAGCAACGAAGGTATTATATATTATTTACCACTTTATATATTTAAACGTTTTTTTCCTCTTTTTTTTTTAATATATTCTTCATTTCTCTATTTTCTGTTTGTTACCTCTAATTACCTCTTTCTTTGTATTGTGTGTGCATCTAACTCTTTTTGTAAGCGTATTAGCGCTGTGGTATGGTTTAGAGCAATGCTAGTTTTCAAGCTGTGTCTATTAAAAATAAACCCGCTTACTACTTTAATTTTTAGATTTATTAGTAGAATTTCTCAGAATTGTATTCTCAGTAAAAATCACTTATTTCATAGAATTCTGTTAATTAGTTCAGAAATAGACATATTTTTCAAAAATATTATTACATCCAATATGTGAAATAGATATAATATCTCTTTGTAGCTTTTTAAATTTATGTGCATTCCTAAATATAATTTAGATATTTCTTTTTAAATATCATAGTAGAAATGAATATCTCGATTTAAAAAAAACGTTTTTCTTCTCACCGTGGTTGAAATACTAGAAGAATTAGACATTAGCGTCACTTTAGATTGAACTTTCACTATTACTCTACTCTTATGAATTCGAAACGATTTTCTGCTTCGCTTGTGTTGCATGATCCGCTCTCTTCGCAACCATCACGGTGTAAAGAGGGTGTACTCGCTGCCTCTGGCTTCTTGTGACGCGCCCAACCCGATTCATCGTACGAACGCGACGCGGTATCATCGAAAAAACGGCGATCATCATCATCATCACCATCATCATCTTCGGCATCACCATCAACACGCTCCATATGAAATGCATCGTCCTAATCCCAGCTGGTAGAACTTCACACTTTGTACATGATTGACCCGCTAATTATTATTCGTCGTATGCTTGTTTGCCCACTAATCCAGGTATTTCTTACTAATCTTTTCTACCTTTCTTCATTTCTCTTTTCTTTTTTTGCTTTTGTTTTTCTTCTTTTCTAATTTTTTTACTCTGCTTACCACGAAAGGCTCATAAATAAAAAATTCAAGAAAACTATATTAGAAATAAACATATCACTTTTAAGTGACAAATTTCATCCTTTTGCTTCATAAATAAATTTGTATAAGCTTAAATATATGTTAATAAATTTGTATAAACAGTAAACGCTATTTGCGTTGCAATAGTAACGATGATCAGTCATTAACATTAATAATTATTTCAGGATCGTTTGATCGCCAATAACGCTTGGAAGGACTACGCCTCAGGTGCGAACACAAATTTTGCTTTCGAGGCGTTTGAGACAGAAGAAAAGGCTCCACCACTGCCAGTTTCCAGTTTACCTCGTCATAGAGAAATGACTGGAAACGGAATTGGCACAGATACCGTAGAAGGCCCTAATAGGATAGTAGGGCCACGAGCAACATATAGCTTACCACGTGCACCAGGTTCGAGGCACACAGCACCCATTCAACCTGGTTATTATACACAAGATCGCAGGGATCATTATCAACGATCGAAGAATAACATGCACAATTTGACAAGCAGTGGTGTATCCACTCAACCGAATCAGCCTGATTTTTATTTCATGCCCAGTCAACGTAAATACAGTGGTGAAGTTGTACGTGTGTACGTGGATTATGGAAGTCAGGCGCCTAAATAATCGAAGAAAGCATATTAGAATTTAAAAAAACGAACGATAAGAAAATGCGTCAGTGACAGTGCTGCCCTCTTTTCAGCCTTTTCTCGTTCATAAATCCAAAGCGGACGATTAATATATCTCGCTTCAGTGAAGCGACATTGTACATAAAACGTGTTTAGTGGACCTGGAGAAAACGAGACTTCGAAACGAGCCCTTTCCTCCGGTGCTTCTTTAAATTATTTTTTTTTTTTTTTTTATTTTGACGGATCGTTGTTCTATTATTTTTTCCCGTTGTCGTATTTGCTCGATTATATGCGAGCGTCGAACGGGGGCAACACGCACGGTTTCGTTTAAAGGAATTACGCAGAAGTGGCGCTTACGACCAAAGAGTTATCGATAAGGCGCACTCAGTGCGCGGTTCTGTACAAAAGCGCGTGAAGAAATACACAACACAATATCACTGTAATTCTCGATGCGTATCCCAATACATGTGGAATGTATTCAAATTCGTGCGTCATTACAGCAATATTTTACATGTATTTACGAGCAAGCATTGGATGTTTGAGCAATAAAAAATTTGTACATTTTTCTAATTGAATGTACGCTTTTTTTCTCAAGGATAAACAAATTTCATCAAAATAACCTGTTGAAAGGAGGATTTTTTTGTTTTTTTGTTTCTGTTTCGTATTACTGTTGATGTTAGTTATGTTTACAGTGACTTTTTTTATCATGTACTGTTCAGTTGTTTTATAAAATAGAATTGAGATTGAAGTTTAAATTGTCTTTTTAAAGAAATTCCTTTTTTTAAATGCAATCACATATTTCTGCATAAGAGCGACACAAATATATATGTTTAATATTATCTATAAAATGTTAAAGTGAAATATTCCAAATATATCTTTTGATTTAGGATTTGCATATCTCGTCGATGATAATTCATCATGATAATTCACATATTTCATTCATAAATAACAAAATATGGAATAAGTGAAAGAAGTAAAATAATTCGAAGATAACAATCTATGACTATATATAATATCAACAATAGTGTTGATAATTATAATAATAACATTAGAAATAAGTAAACAAGACTTTGAAAATAGTATCTGCTAAAAAGAATTTTCATTGTCTGTATCTGAATCTCATTTTGCTCCTTAAATGGATTATTAGAAACTGTAATACTTACAATGACGATACTGTCAATAAGACAATCGTGTTGGTACGGATCATAAATTATTACAATAGTGATAAAATTAACGATAATACTTGTAATAATCATAATAACGATAATAGCAGCAGTAATAACGATGGCAATAATATTACAGTATTAATATTACATTAACGTCGTTAACAACGGTGTCGCGCGCAATGACTTCCGACTTATTCTTCATGAGCGATGGAATATTCAAGATCAATATAATTAATAATAATAATAATAATAATAATAATAACAATAGTAATAATAATAGTAATAATAATATAATTAATAATAATAATAGCAATAATAATAATAATAATAATAATAGTAATAATTATAAGGCGACGCCACCAGGTAAGCTTTTTTAATATACCTTTGAAAGTCGTGTATTCGGAAGCCAATTATAGCACGCATTGCCTTCCTTGATCCTATTATTATATAACTAGTATCGAGCACATATTTTCGGTCCTACTGTAAAATTCTTTTTCTTTTCTTCCGTCACATAGTGATGCGAAGTATGAGAAACAAGGATCTACATGCTCTGAATCACGTACTGGACATACCCGCCAGAAAGCGTAAATAAAATAATAAATTTATATTTTATCCCTGAAAAGATGAGAGAAAAATTACTTCCTTAGAATAAATCTTACGAATAAATGCGCATTATATATAGTATATGTATATATGGATTGCATGTTTACAAGCGGGAAATATAATAAAAACGAATTTTTGTTTCTTCTTCATACACTTATACTTTTGGCGAGTATGTACAGTTCCGACTAGTTTTTTTTTTTTTCTTTTCGTCACTATCGCATTCTTTCATTCAAGCGTATGCAAGCATACTCAAATACACGCATACACACTTAAAGCTTATCTTCTACGCCCTTTTTATTTTCTCTTTGTCTCTCTTTTCTTTTTTCTAATCTTTCTTTTTTTTCTTCTTTTTCTACATTCCAACTTTTTTACGCTCTCACACACACTCATCTCTTTATAGACACACAACGCGTAAGATCAATAGTACATTTGTTTTTTCTTTCTTTGACTTTTTTTTTTAATTCATTTTTTTCTTTTTTTTTTTTTTTTTTTTTTTAATTTCTTCGTCGATCAAAGCAGTGTAGTAAGAGAGTACGGACAGACGAACATTTGATAAATGGAGTGAACACGATAGTAAGGCTTAATTTAAATCTGTTAGTAAATTATAATTCCGCGCACGCTAACATTTTCTGTGCATAGACAAGCCTGTTTCCATTCAGGTATGCACTCGAACGATGGGGGCCGGGGATCTCACTTCCTGAGCTTAGCCTATTCACTTAGAACATTATATCGTTTCTTTTCCTACTATTTTTTTCTTACTCTCATATTCATGTTTCCGCTTCGAACGATGTCTTTCTCTCGTTTCGGAATTGTTTGTTTCTTTATTGTTTTTGATCTCTCTTCCTTGCAACAGTTATATATTGTCACTTCGATAGATGCCACACGATTATTTCCCCACATCGATTCAGCTATCCTGCATCGCTCTCATTCATCCGCCGCTTATTATTCACTTCTTCACTTTCTTTGTCTAACGTCGGAGTCTTTGTTGGGTGTTGGCTTGCTGCGGAATGAAATAAAAACAATTATTAAATAAGATCGATACTGTTCGAAGGTGACTGGTTACGAGGATGAGTCACGCACAGTCAGACACAGTGTAGTAATCAATAAATGGTGATGTTATTATATATACAAGATGTTTCAAATATAGGTGGCACGATAAAAAACTCGACAAACGTAACTTTTCTTCGTCGAATTATCACTCGAATTATCAAATTAATATGTAATAATAATGATCTAGAAAGAAGTGTAATTAGATTATTTACACTGCTGAAAGTATTACTTATAAAAACAATTTCTGACTTAACCTAAATATTTATCCACCTATTTATGAAATGATTTGCATATAATTTGAGAAATTTGATGATTCGAATCCGATCATATACTTTCTATTCTTCAGAAGTAAAACTTTAAGTTCGTATTTCTTTACTTTCGCAGTATTCTCTTTTGGATAAGCGCCAGTATAGCTGAAAGCGACGGCACGACTTCAGAGGGAAAGATTTAAAGCAATAGCGGGACAGACTCAACCGCGCAGGTGCAGATGAACGACGTGATTCTTTGGAAAAGAGCAATTGTTGGATGGCCCTGTGACCTGGGAATTCCGGTTTTGATGGTGTAACAGGGGGATCGACAGGAAGTTCAGAGGGTGGGAGAGGCCCGTGCAATGGAATGTAATACTCCAATCTATCATCTCTTCTACTCGGTCCTCTATATATAGAGTTTGAATTTCAAAATAGTTTTTAAAATTTAAACCTGAAAACTGAATTTTTTACATGAAAATGAAGAGATACGTAGGAATGAAGAAATATACATACGTGTCGGGGCTTTGATCGGTATCAGACTCCTCGAGTTCAGCCTTGTTTCGCTTTTTTTCATAAACTAGAATGATGGCGCACAAAATAACAACCTCCGCGCAAATGCCTAAAAAGGGCCAGAGTGCGGCGAGCTTGTCTTTGACCCTGAGGAATGTATGCGCCTCTGCTATGTGATTTTCAGCGGTATCAGACCAATTATAAGATACCCTGCAGTAAACATTGCCACGATCGTTCATCTCGATGTTTTCAACCATTAGGATAGCGCCATATATATTTCTTTCATGGTCCCATCCAAGTTTAACGCGGCCCATGCTACGCGTGTAATTCTGGTCCCCAAACTTCCATGATACTTTGATACCAGGATTTTGCTTACCAGCACAAGTTAAATGCAGTTTTTCTCCTTCTACTACGTTTGTTGAATCGGGCATATACGCCGTGGGTCTTGCTGCAAGCGGTAAATATTTTTTAAATTGATGAATTAAGAAAAAAAGATATTCGAATCGGTTGTGTTGAAAAAAATTAGAAATATTAATTTGTTAAAATTAAAAGAAAATAATTTTATTCTAAAAACTTTAACATTTTTTGGAAGTAGTATTTTAAAAGGATACTTACGTACGATCCTGTATTCTGTAGAAGAATTTGTCCCTTTGCAAGTGTAATTTCCGTACAATACATCTGAGGTTTTCAAAAGTTCCAGAACGCCTGTTTCATTATCTAATTTTATTAAATCCTCGTTGCCAGCTAATGCTGTATGGATCAAAACTCTTTCTTTATACCATAGTAACTTCTCTCCTGCGCTTTTATTTGCACACTCTAACGCCAACGGAACATCCGTGGGTGCAAATACTTTAATCTTGAGATCTGTATCAAAGAAAATTCAAATCATTTTTTACTTAATACTTGCTCAATTATTATTCTTTACATGGAGTAAAAGACTATCAAATTTCAAATGTTAACATCACAAGCTTCACAAACTTATTATTAATTATACGATTTTTGTTTTTAAGATAAAATTTGAGGCTTGTTTTATCGATTTCAATATACAATTCATAATTTCAAAGCATACGTATAAGTTATATGTTGTACGATACAACATATTTCATCATATAATTTTCATATTATTTACGATTTCTAACATTTCTTATCTTTAATATCATCCTTATCAGAGGAGTAGGCCGTACTTATCTTTTAAAAAGATAAAAAAACCAAGAGTTGTGTTATTTTTATAGACGAATTACATTATTACATCTTTCATTTATATTTCTTTAATAATAACATTTTTAAAATATAACTATTCGATAATAATGTTAATTAATCTTAAAAATCTTATGAAAATTCTAATGGAATAAAAAGGACAAAGATATGAAAACAAAAAGAAATTAGAAAAAAAAAAAAATCATTCTGAACGTATTTTATACGTTATGAAAGATTTTTTATAAAAT